GCTGGGTGACTTTGGGCCAATCACAAGGAGACAGTGAGTTCTAGTCCCGCCTTAGGCACGAGAGCTGGGTGGGTGACTTTGGGCCAGTCTTTCTCTCTCAGGCCAACCCACTTCACAGGGTTTTTGTTGTGGGGACAATAAGAGCGGGGAGGAGGATTAAGTCTGTCTGTCATCTCAAGTTGTTTATAAAAACAATAACAGCAGGAAATAAAAAATAAATAAAATAAATTATTTTAAAGATTAGATAAAAATACCTGATTTAAATGGACTCTGCGTACTGACAAGATTTGGGCAGAAAAGAAATAGAACAAGGACAGGTGTAGAACCAATTTAAAAAGTTCTCACTCCTCTCATTTTTCTAAGCTAACCCTTAACTTCTTAGACTGGGCTTCTGCTCTTGTGAAACCAGGATTCGCTTCTCGTAAAATCGCGCCCAGCTCAATCCGTATTTGGAAAAGGGTAGTTTTCCACCCTTTTAAGCTGGTAATCAGCTCTGATCTCCCTTATTATTATTATTATTTTTAGGAGTCCATGATCAACCAGGAGCCGATAAAATGCGCGGCACAGTTCAAGGGAAGAACCCTATTATCGATATGTTTATTTGGCTTACTCTAAACTTTAAAACTTGTGAACTTCAGCTTCTAGAATTTTGCTGGCTGGGAGAATTCTGGGAGTTGAAGTCCACACGTCTTAAAAATTGCCAAGTTTGGAGACCCTTCTGCCCTAAACCACAATAACACACAGGCAAACAATAGATACCAGCTCAAAGTTAAGTTCAAACCATTCTCAAAGATCCATCTCATCCTGGGAAACTTTTTTTGAATTATTACCATCTGGCAGACGGTACAGAATAATAAAAACAAAGACAAATAGGCTGAAAAACAGCTTCTATCCCAGGGCAGGAGCTCTTTTGAATTCTGCTGTATAGTGCTGTGTCGAGGGTTTTCAGTTCAATGTGTGGAGGGTGAAGGATGTGTGTTTGTGTTTATTTTCATGGTCATGATGTGCACTGAAGATAGTGTTTGATTTTGTTGTACTAGATGCAATGACAGTAAAGTAAAGTAAACTCTCTCCAAACTCGATTGCAGGAAATACGACTTCAGCAACAGAGTGGTCAATGTCTGGAACTCACTCCCTGACTCTGTTGTTACATCCTCAAACCTTCCCAAAATGTTAACCCTACACTGTCTACTGTGGACCTCACCCCATTCCTAAGAAGTCTGTAAGGGGGCGTGCATGTGCGCACACCAGTGTGTCTGCTGTCCCTGTCCTACTGTTCCCATTTATTCATACTCATTTCTTATGTATATACTTATACCTGTTTACATTTATATGTTTGTATGTTATGTTCATACTTATACTTGTTTTCTCATACAACAAATAAATAAACAAAAGATGCCCAGGGTTAAATAACAACCAGAGTAAAACATACCACATCATAACAATTTCAAATAGTTATCCATCGACCATCTTCTCCATTTGATCACCTCGCTAACATTAGCCTGCCACTAATTTGTGCACAAATGGGACTTTTAATTTCAATTCAGAACAGGGCCCTTGGAGGTCTTTTATTCCCGTTCAAGCAGGAGATCTTAATAGTTATTTACTAATATCTCTTTTTCCAATGGAACAGAAGTTGCCTTCAGAAGTTGTGGGAGCTTCACCACTGGAGGCTTCCAAGAAGAGACTGGACTGCCATCTGTCAGAAATGGTGTAGGGTCTCCTGCTTGGACTAGATGACCTACAAGGTCCCTTCCAACTCTGATTATCTGTTATCTGTCCCATTTTATGACCTTTCCGTTACTCGGTTTTTACCAACAAGGATTCTGTAGTTACTTGGGATTTTTGAGCCGTGGAAAAATCCTTTATCGACCTATTTCCCCTCCTCTGCCTTTCAAAACATTTTAATCCATCCTTTCCCTTGTGGTTTTTTTTTTTTCACAATTAGAGAATCTGATTTAAAAAAAAAAAAAAAGAACATTGGGTTCTTCTTCATTTATGAAAATCAGAAGCTCCATTGTTTTCTTCCCACCAACCACATTTCATTCAAAAGCAAACCACTCTCTGGAGCTACAGGTGGCTCCATCAGAGGCCACGAATTCAAGAGCTAATATTTGAATTTTTTTTAAAGAAAAGGTGAATTTCCTGATTTGGGCCTCATGCTTCTCCTTTCCTATAATGTCTTCATGAATGAAGGAAGTCAAGGCATACTCACAATTTTTCCCCCTCAAGTTTGGTCTTTGGGCTGCAGTAAAAGCCAGAAAGCCGATTTGAGAAAGATGCAATTGACCCACCAAATTTTTTACCAGGGACTTTTCCCTAGGAAAAACCGAACAGGTCCCCTTGCCTTCTAGAGAGGAGATCAATGTGTCTGTGGATACTGGTTTTGCTTGGTTTTTTTTAAGCTACCCGGATGCTATCAGGAAGTAACAAGCTGAAAATCCAGATATGCTGCAACATTGGACAGTGGCAGGAACTCCAGGGCTGGTTGCAAGCCAACACAAGATTATAGGTTGAAATTTCTTTCTATCTTATCTTTAGATATAAATTACTTTCTATCTTATCTTTAATCACCATCCAAGCTCCAAATAGTGAAAATCAAGAGTATAAAAAACAATTGACACATGTACTAGCAAGTTGAGGGTGCTGGGTTTTCATAAAGTAAAGCCAAAGAGGTCAACAGAGCAATGTTTTTTTTTTTTTTAAAAAAAACAAACCTCACAAACTCCACTGCAATCCACACTGAAGAGGATATAAATTTAACGCCTTTTTCAAGAAGGCTTGATGAAAAGAAACCTTTTCAGCGCCTCCTTCTTGCTCCTTAAAATGGAAATATTTCACCTTAAAAGAATTCGTAAAAGTCACTGGGTAATAAGTTTTCTAGTAAATATTCTGAATTGATTTCAACAGAAAATCAGAAAAAGGGCATCACGCTACAGGGGATTTCTGCATTATTTTTCTATTTTCAAATGCTTCCAAAAGAATTCTCCATCGTTGAAAAGTCGCTGGCTTAGAAACCAGGAGATGGTGAGTTCTAGTCCCAACTAAGGTGTGAAATCTGGGTGGGTGACATTGATCCAATCACAAGGAGACGGTGAGTTCTAGTCCCAGCTTAGCCCTGAAAGCCAATTGGGTGACTTTGAGCCAGTCACTCACTCTTGGCCCAACCCACCTCACAGGGTTATTGTGGGGAAAGTAGGATGACAAAGGTGTATTATGTATGTTCCCCATCTTGAGTTACTTATAAAAGTAATAAAAAGGCGGGATAAAAATAAAATAAAATAAATAAAATGAGTTCAGCTGAAGGCAGTGGTCTTTCCGAAAAATAAATCCATGCCTTTTGGATTCTTCCTTGCTTGTATGCTTTTCAAGCTGTGGATTGCTGGCCACAATAATGGATTGTTTTATGACCCACAAAATGTCTGGCATGAGATTATATTATTAAATCATCATCATCATTTTGTAAATAACTCAAGACCTGGTTATATCACCAGGCCTGGGAATTTGAGAGTACCAGAGAGATTCTCCATTAAGGCTGATCCCTTTTACTCTCTCCCTACAGTTTCTGTATTTTAAATTTGTTGTTCATTTGTTAATTTGACTTTTTAAGTGTTTTTATGTTTGCTTTTATATTGTATATTGATTGAAAGTTATACTCTGCCAAGTATGGGCGGCCACATAAGTCTGATCAATAGATAAATCATAGATAAATAATTTAGCTTAATTTAGCAGAACGGTCAAATTCACATTGCATACTAAAATGATTTTGGCTTAGGGTGATGTTTTTAAATACTCTGTAGTGTGATTGTGATGTGGTGTTTGGGGCACTGTGCAGGAGTAGCTTTCAAATTTCATTGTATTTGTGAATGCAGTGACAATAAAGGTATTCTATTCTATTCTATTAACAACAGCAGTGATTCCCTTAACCAACCGTGTAGAGATAGGTTGTAAAAATGGGGCCAAAAACTCCCTTAACCAATTTCTCACTTAGCAACATCAATTTTGGGCTCAATTCGAGTCCTAAGTCAAGGAATACCTGTATCTCCTCTACTCTCCAAACCTGAGGTTTCCTTGTGGTGCCCCATCCAAGCTTATTTTGGGAGGGGTGGGAGGGGAGGAACATGGCATCTAGCTAGCATCTGGGGGAAACAGCCCTCGACCTTTCCCACTGGATCCTCTATTCCTTCTGCCAATCCCACTCACCCCCTTTCGGGCATCTTCCCTAGCATTAAAGACGGGCAAGGGACCTTCGAGGTCATCCAGCCCAGCCCAACGCGAGACTCTTCCTCCTCATCCTTTCAAGAAGAGATTGGACTGCCATTTGTCCGTCCATGGTGTAGGGTCTCCTGCTTGGGCGGGGGTGGGGGTTGGACTAGATGACCTACAAGGTCCCTCCCAATTCATCTGTTAAATCCCACATCAGCCGCCTTACCCCCAGCGCGGGCATCCTCCTCTCCCGATCCGGATTCCTCGCCCAATTTCCGGGCCAGCTCCCCCGAAACCGCTCCGCACCTCTTCTGCAGCTTTGCCAGGATGCCACCCCTTCCGGGCCGGCCTCCGAAGGCGAAGTCCAAGCGTGGCATCCAGATGTTCCGACATCCGCTTTGGCACGGAAGGAGGAGACCATCCGAGCCGGCGGCCGGGAGAGCAGGGCGGGCAGGCTCGATCGGGGAGGGTGGTGGTGGTCTGCAAACCCCGCGTAGACGGTGCAATGCCAGCCACCCTGGGCACCGGTGGGCACACACAGGGCGAGGGGGCATACCGGGGGCATCTATCCGGTCCTTGCTAGCCGCTGAAACCAGGCTCGGAGGATCGCAGCTTGCTTTCCAGATCCTCGTGCCTTTCTTACACCCCACCCGGCTTTTTCCCCCCGCCCCACCCACCCCCACTACCCCCTAGAATTCAGGTTCGATGCCCAGGCCCGGCGAGGAAGGACAGAGGGGAGAGGCGGCTCTGCTTCAAGATTTGCACCCGGCCGGCCGTGCAACGGCTTCTCCCGGCTGCAAAAGAAAAAAGGGGGGAAGGGACCCATCACCCCAACTCAGGGACCCTTGCACGCTCACTCACCCATGGCAAAGCAGCAGCGGCGCCCATGCCCGAAGCGGCTACGCGGCTCAGCCCCGGGAAATGCGAAAGCATTTGGTCGGCAAAAGGCGCAAGGGGGGGGTGGGGGAAGCCCTCTGGTGGCCTCGAAGGGAACTGCAAGGAGGCAGCGGAAAGGAAGCGCAGGAGGCGCCGGGTTTCTGATTCAGCGCCTCCCGCTCCGCCTCCAAGCAGAGGTTACTGAACTACAGTTCCCAGCATTCCTCGCCTTGAGCCACGCTGGGTGGAAGCCGCTGAGAGTTGTAGCTCTGGAGTTATGGGTTGACCTGATTGATTGATTGATTGATTGATTGATTGATTGATTGATTGATTGATTGACTGACTGACTGACTGACTGACTGACTGACTGACTGATTAAAGGAGAAAATTTGTAGCTCAGGGTTGGAATGAATGAATGAATGAATGAATGAATTCTTTATTGGCCAAGTGTGATTGGACACACAAGAAATTTGTCTTTGGTGCAAATGCTCTCAGCGTACATAAAAAGAAATGGTACATTCATCACAAATCATAAGGAACAACACTTAATGATAGTCATAGGGTACAAATAAGCAATCAAATCATACTGGGATACACTCAATAAAAATCGTAAGGATACAAGCAAGTCATACAGTCATAAGTAGGAAGAGATGGGTGATAGGAACGATGAGAAGATGAATAGTAATAGTAGTGCAGACTTTGTAAATAGTTGGACAGTGTTGAGGGAATTATTTGTTTAACAGAGTGATGGCGTTTGGGGAAAAACTCCCCTTGTGTCTAGTTGTTCTGGTGTGCAGGGCTCTATAGCGTCGTTTTGAGGGTAGGAGTTGAAACAGTTTATGTCCAGGATGTGAGGGGTCTCTGGTGATCTCTGAGCTTGGTTACTTTCTTGCAGACGTTTCATGACCCAACTAGGTAACGTCATCAGTGCCACAAGGGAGGAAGGATTGATGGAATTGAGGAGGAGGAGGATGACTGTGGGGTCCTTGGTGCTCTCTGAGCTTGGCTGTTTTCTTGCAGGCATTTCATTACCCAACTAGGGAATACCATCAGTGCTAGTCAAGAAAGCTCAGAGAGGACAAAGGACCCCTGATTGGTTGGTTGGCTGGTTGCTTTATTGATTGATGCATCTATCACATTTCTACACAGCCTATCTCACCTAAGAGAATGTGGGCAGCCTACAATAAGGGTAGTCCTCGACTTAGGACCACAAACTGAGCCCAAGATTTCTGTTGCTAAGCGAGACAGTTGTTAAGCGAGTTTTGCTCTATTTTACGACCTTTCTTGCCACAGTGGTTAAGAGTTAGTAACACGGTGGTTAAGTGACCCATTGACTTTGCTTGTCAGAAGGTCACAAAGAAGATAACATGACCCTGGGATATGGCAGCCGTCATAAATATGAACCACCGGTAGTTGCCAAGCATCCAAATTTTGATCACGTGACTATGGGGATGCTGCAACTGTCATAAGTGTGAAAAATGGTCATAAGTCACTTTTTTCGGTGCTGTTGTAATTTCAAACAGTCACTAAGTGAACTCTTGTAAATCAAGGACTATTTAACTTAAAGGTAAAGGTTCCCCTTGCACATAATATGTGCTAGTTGTTTCAGGCTGTAGGGGGCAGTGCACATCTCCATTACAAAGCCAAATAGCCAGCACTGTCCAAAGACGTCTCCATGGTCATGTGACCAGCAGGACTAAACACTGATAAGGCACATGGAACGCTGTCACCATCCCACCAAAGTGGTCCCTATTTTTCTACTTGCATTTTTTATATGCTTTCGAACTGCTAGGTTGGCAGAAGCTGGGACAAGTGACAGGAGCTCACTCCATTACGTGGCGCTTGGGATTCGAATTATTGAACTGCCAACCTTTCTGATCGACAAGCTCAGCATCTTAGCCACTGAATCACCCTGTCCCATTTATACTTACAGAACTTTAAGCTTTTTCGATCATAGAAAGTCTGTATCTATATTGATATCGATATCTATCTATCTATCTATCTATCTATCTATCTATCTATCTATCTATCTATTACAAACTATTCCAAAAATATGAATTCCAGGCATACTTGTAAAAGAAGAAACAGACATCCTGCGGTCTTCGGAACTTAAAATTTTATTTATTGTACTTACTAAGCTTTCGTCAGCCTCTGCTGACATTGTCAGAGTGTTAAGCTACCAAAGATCTCTGCCTTTATATATCATTAATCAATTTAGCCCTTGCACGCTATATATATATATATATATATAAATATATATATTTGATTGCAGAGTTAATATATAAGCAGTTTAAACAATTCCCCAATTTGCCATTGGCCTCCTTGTGATACCAGCTTTGTTGCACTGGATGCCACATGCTCCATTAAAGAACAGAATAAAAATCCATTCAATCGTTCAGACGTGGAAGAGGAAAGTTTGAGCTTTGGAATGAAAACTCACAAGTCAGGATTCTGGATTCCGAGGTCTGGTGTACGGGTTCAAGTGTCAACAACATATTTTATGCAAATGGATGGAATTGCCAACTCTGCAGTAGAACTGCTGATGTAACAAAGGAGAAGAATATTCTTTTCTTTCTTCCTTCTTCTTTTCTTCTTTCAAGCCGTAAGTAACTCTCTACCTCATCTCTGGAGCTTGAAGACTGGATTGATTTCTCGCGTTGGCCGAAACCTTTGGACCTTTCATCAACAAGACGAAGACCTGGATAATTTCTCCAGAGATTAGAAAGCCTTCCCATTCTTTAATTCCCAAATTAACTTTCATTAAGGCCATTCTAAGGTTATATGGGGCTTTTCAAATGGGGGATGGATTGATTTAACCTATGGCTTATCATATATGGAGTAGCAATATAAATTAACATTTCAACCAGAGTTAGTAGAACCCAATAAAGTATCGATGTTCAAAAGATCTGGGTTCAAATGCCAATATCTTAGGCCATCTGATCATTGAAGCGCAACCTCCTTTATATTAAAGAAATGAAATATTGGACTTATCTATGCTCTCAGCCGGTCACGATGGGATCTACAGTTTGATGTGGGACCCACAATCACACTGAGGGGAGGATACTTATGCCCCAATTTATACAGAGAGTCTCACTGGATGCTGTGTGAGGTATAAATCCTATTTAGGCAGGGGTGGGATTCAAATTTTTTAACAACCAGTTCGGTGGGTATGACTAGGTGGGTGTGGCCATGTGACTGGGTGGGCGTGGCTTTTTTCTCTTTTTTTTGAAGCACCCCCACATTTTCTGCCTCCTGGGCCTCAGGGAAGCCTTCTGGATGAAGCAGTAAGACAGCGAAGGGGATCCTGGAACAGCTGATCATTTGAACAGCTGATCGTCAGGAGGGGGAAAAACAGCTGATCGTCGGGAGGGGACAAAATACCTTAAGGAGTGACTGGGTGGGGAAGAATGCAGTCAGCAATGTTGGGCATGAATGTGATGTCACGCATGCATGATAAGGAGGAGATAGGGAGGGGAGGAGATGGGGCGGGCGGAGAGAGGCAGGCGAGCAGGGACACGATTTGCCATTCTCTGAATTGCACAGAATCATAACAACCGGTTCTATAGAACCGGTGTGAACCAGTAGAATCCCACCCCTGTATTTAGGATTGTCCATTGCTAACGTAGTTCAAAGTTTGCCAGCTTTTTTACGGGCTCATTTATATGTCTTCCTATAACTAGATGTTCGGCAACCCATCTGGCTTTCTCCAAAAGGGGCAACATTAGTCAAACACTAAACCAGCTTGATGCTTAATGGAATGTCCATCTGCCATCTCCAGATGTGGCCTGATTTGTTGAAATGAAAAAATACAGGAAGCCACTTTCATTGGAGGTTTAAGTGTTTATACAGAGCCAGTGGTTGGGCTTTATTAGACCGGGGTTTCTGAGTTAGCATAGTTGTGTGAACACAACCAGTTGTGGTTTAGTCAACCCAACAGTTGTGGTTCATTCAGTTAAACATACTTCAGTTGTTGATATTTGGCGTGGTGTAAACTTTTCAATGTTTTTGTTCATTTTCTAGTTCAATATTTTTCTGACATTCTTTTCATCTTTCGGTATTTTGTTTGGGAGATAATCGGAGGGAGGGGGAGAAGAAAGGAAGGAAATGGGAAAGGAAGGAAGGAGATGGGAAGGAAAAAAGGAAGGGAGGGAGGAAAAAGGGGAAGGAAGGACTAGGTTTCCAAACCACAATTCTGCTTATATTTGATTGGTAGCAGGTTATTGCAATAGAAGAGAATGCTGGCAATTTTCCAGTTGATTTATGTTTATTTTCAATCATTTTATTTTTTTTATTAGCTCTATCAATAAGGGAATAAAGGAGAAGAATGAGGAGAGGAGGGAGGGAGGGAGGGAGGGAGGGAGGGAAGGAAGGAAGGAAGGAAGGAAGGAAGGAAGGAAGGAAGGAAGGAGGAAAATAAGGAAAGGAGAGGAGACATTTTTCTGTTTCTATTTAGATTTTATTCCTTCATCAGTTCCCATTCTTTGGAGGGCAGAACTATCCCGGGATAGTTGGAACTGATATTTCTCAGGATAGTCTCTCTCTCCCAACTTTTGAAATTCTTATTTGTAAAAAAAAAAAAACATAACACTATCAATTAATCAGCCAAACAGTCTGTTTATTGTTTTGACCACCAGTTGTAGCAAATAAGATAATCCTACCTGAAAGAATCCAAACATGCACTCTAATGTGCAAAACTCAGAACATGGAAAGCTTGTGATGACAGCTGCTCAAAATGTCAGGAGTTTTTGATAAGGCCATCTCTCTGTTGTTTTTATTGCAAAGCAAATAACTTTCCTATCAAGAGGCCCCAAGAATTTTCACGTGCTGAAACAGGGCTACCCACCAATAGGTTACACTAAAAAATTCTCTTTTTTTCCATAGGCAGGAAAAGCAGGAAGAAGGTGTGAAGAATTTTAAGGAGCTGTTCTTAAGGAGCAGGAGGAAGGTGTGAAGAATTTTAAGGAGCTGTTCTTTCAGCACTATGGAAGGTCGCAGACATTCTGGCTATCTAGCCGATGATGAGAGCTTCAGAAGGCCTCAGGTGAAGACCAAGGAAGAAGGACCAAGGGATTTTCTTCACATCCCTTCCTAGAAACAGGACTCACCAAATTGGGTGTTTACGGGAGCAGATACGTGCGCAAAACGTAGTCACCAAACTGGTAGTAACACCGGTTGAATCCCACTCCTGGTCCCTTTATTAGCTCCAACTTTGCCCCCAATGTCCTAGTTACCTTCTGGGCTGGAGAAAAAACTCTCCCAGGAACAGCCTTTGGCTGCAGAGAATCAAGTCCAAAACGTGGTCAACAAAAACTGTGTAAGTCCAATTAAGGCAAAATGAGGTAATAAGTCTGGCAGGGCAGGAACAAGAATTCCAGACGTGAAGGCATGGCAATAACTCAACACAGTTGGGAATATGCCAGGAACACAGATAACCAAAGTCAACACAAGATAAACTCACGTTTGCTCCCAGAAGCTGCCGCACTCAGCATGCATCTCTTTTAAATTCCCTTCCCAGGTGTGGCTAATGAAGGGAATCAGGGCCCTTTCCTCCCCCGTAAGCCATGCAACCCACATTGCTCCCTTCTCCATTCCTCCCTGCATGCCCTAGGATGAAGAGGGGGTGGGCCTGGGTCTTCCTCTGAACTCCCTCTCCCTTGTTCTACCTCTCCCCTGCTCTGCCCAGCTGGACTTTGCCCTTCCCCAGGTTCCTCCACAGCCAACGAAGCCACACTCCCACACCCTGCCAGCTGTTCGTCTTCCTCCTCGGATTCAGACTCCGACAGGGGCGTGACAGGGCCACTGTAACTTCAAACAGTCACTAAATGAATGCTCAGAAGTCAAGAACTTCCTGTGCTTGCCTTTGTTTACGTTCTGCCTTCCTTGTAGGACATCAACTCCCACACCAGTCCTAGAAGAGATCCTTGCGACTGGAGGGCCATGCTTCGGCCTCCGTCGCGCTGTCAGCACCGAACCCAACCATCAGTCACTTCCACAGGGTCCTTCCACAGCTTCTCCCAGGGAGACCAAGGGAAACGGAAACGCCCCCAAAGCAGCAGCAGCGGCAGCAGCGGCGGCAACGAGAGAACCAGCGACCTGGCCAACGAATTTTCAGAATTTGTGGACTTCTTAGCCGACGAGGATGTCCTGGAGAGCCTTCAGCAGATCGTGGAAGACGCCGTTAAGAAGCTCCGCGATGTGACGTCCCAAAGTGGGGAAACCATCTTTGACTTCCAGGAGGAATCCGCCTCCAGCGTGGAGAGCGAGACGTGGTCTTATTCCTACAGCTCGACACATTCCCAGATCAAGTACCAAACCACGACCACCATGTCCACCATGTCCAGCTCAGACGACGACCAGGAAAAGCACTTTATGAGCCCGGAGTCGTCGAAGACAGGGGGAAAAATTTGCCTCCTCGATAAATATGTTTCCAGGCTCCCCAAAGTTGGAAAGCAAATTGCTCAGGAACTATCGGGAGGAATCCATGCTGAGGTACGGTATTTCTAAGTCCTTTGGAAGGATATTTCAGAGGCCCAAAATTTTGAAGTTCAGATCTGCCTGGGGGGAGGGATCCTGTGCCAGTAAAGGAATATTTGCCTCAACTGCTGGTTCTAAAAACACAAGATAAATTCACATTTGTTTCCAGCAGACACTGCATTCAGCATGCATTTAAAAAACTCCCTTCCCAGCTGTGGCTAATGAAGGGAATCAGGGCCCTTTTCTCCCCTGTAAGCCATGCAACCCACGTTGCTCCCTTCTCCGTTCCTCCCTAGGATAAAGAGGGGGTGGGCCTGGGTCTTCCTCTGAACTCCCTCTCCCTTGTTCTACCTCTCCCCTTCTCTGCCCAGCCGGACTTTGCCCTTCCCCAGTTTCCTCCACAGCCAACGGAGCCACACTCCCACTCCCTGTCAGCTGTTCCTCTTCCTCCTCGGATTCAGACTCCGACAGCGGCATAACAGTCTGTCTCTTTCCTATTCCTTCCTCCCCTGTTCCCAAAAGACATTCCTTTGGCGATTGGAATGAATTTGCTCTCTGCTGATTATTTTTCCTTTCTCGCCCTTCCTTCCCTGCTCGTAGGCATTTTCCGAACAGTCAGGGGAAAGCTACTTCCAGCAGCAGCATTTGCACATCTGGGCTAAGTCGTTTGAACATCCCCGGAGGGAGTTTTTTGCCAAGATCCAGAGAGCCTTCCCTCAAGATTCGCTGTCGTTCGAATCGCTCCACAAGGAAATCACCAACGTCTTGAAACGGCCGGTTCGACATGGCATCCCCATGCATTACATCTGTCACGAGCACTTGCACGCCTTCCTGGAAGAGACCAAGGTCTTGGCCGGCCTCCAGGACGTCATCAACCAAGCGGTTCTCAAAGTTTTGGAGGCCACCATGACAGGCGGGATCCCGTTCCTCGATTTTTCACATCAGCACAGGTACTCTACGCCGTGGGACTCTGAGGAAGAAGAGTACACCATCACGGAAAGTTACGAAAGTGAGGAAGAAACATCCGAGGAATATGAAGAAGGCTTCGATGGGATCTGCAAGAAGAGGGTGGAGAAGAAGAAGCAACCACTCTCGGAGGACGGGAAACCTCTCCCCAAATCCAAACAGAAGCCAACGACCCCGGAGGAGGCCGCTCGCAAGGCCAAATATGTCCCGCCCCCGCCCTCCAAAACCAAGGAAACCAAGACAAAATACGTCCCGCCACCCCTCCCGAAATCAAGGAAGAAACAAGAGCCGAGCCAGGCCGAAACAGAGACAACCAAATCGGTAATTTCTGGGGAATAGAATAGAATAGGGTAGGGTACAGTAGAGTAGAATAGCATATTAGAGTAGATTAGATTAGAATAGAATAATAGAATATTGGAATAGATTAGATTATAACAGAATATAATAGAATATTAGAATAGAATAGAATAGAATAGAATAGAATAGAATAGGGAATAGAATAGAATAGAATAGAATAGAATAGAATAGAATAGAATAGAATA